TGTGTATTTTTTTGCTTGTTTTTTTTCTGTGCTTTGGGTTTTTGTTGTTTGCCAAAAATCCCTGCAATACAAAATCATACGCTGTATCCGTGTATCCTCTTCCCTTTTTTTTTTTTTGAGGGGTTGCACACACACAATTCACTCGAGTTTTACTCCGAGCTCCGCACCGAATGCTATTCCGAAGTTCACTCCAAACTCCGAGGAGAGGGAAGATACACTGAGTCGATTGTCAAGTGCAGTTGTGTTTCAAAACGAGCTCCAAGTTTTCCGCAAAAAGAATCTGTGCCACGCCTGAAAAACAAAAGGAAGGCTGTTGAAAGCAGTCTACTGTCACGCCAGTACGTACTGTGTATGTCATCTGGCCTCGCCGACGTCCCGCCTGGTTGCAGGGGCACGGTTTAGTCACGGTGTAGTAGCGCTCCACGTAGGAGGGGGAGGGCTGAATCTCTGTTTTGGCGCTTTCCACTATCCTCATTGTTAGTGGAAGAAAAAAAATTTTCACTCAACCTGTTGCTCTCGACTGGAGTTTCACAGCTGATCACAGAGTTGCCAGACAGGTGATCGTGTAGAGTTGCTCCACGGACGAAGCTGCCGGGCTTCACAGAACGATGCAAGGTTGCCAGATCGGTGGAGATTGGGCAACCGGGTGGAAGTTGAGAGCCAACGGATATTTAAAATTTGAATTTCGAAGTAGGAGGAATGGAGGAGGAGGAAAAGGTGGCCTTCGAGAGGAGGTCAAGCCTGCAGCGCTTCCCACCGCAGTGGCAGACGCCCAGAGGTGTCTGGCCAAAAGAGCAGGCCTTCGGGAAAATGGCACAATTATGCCTTGATACTGGCTCCCCATTAAAGGAGCCTCTGAAGTTGATGCAGCACCCAACGCTGACTGTCTCGGCCCCTGCAGAAGCCCCAGTCAATCCGTTCGACTTTAGCAGCGAGACTGGTGAGAGAAGCATTACGGGGACGAAGGTAGCCGCAGAGCTGCGGACTATCCTCACGACTCTCGTCGATAGGTCGACAGAACTATCAAAGATGTTGAAGGAAGCTAGATACCTAAACAAGGACATGAAGGACCTGGCGCAGAAGGTGCTGAGACTGCAAAAGTCCGCACTTTTCAGCCGATGTGTAGCTGACTACCACAAAATCCGAAACTGCCATAAGGAAGCGAAGTGCTTTCATTGCGCCGGGAACGGAAAGCCGCACAACCACATCGCTGGAAGTCAGAGATGCCCAATGGCATCCAAAGCGAACGGTAGGATGAAAAAAAACGGCCATGATTAGATGCTACCAGATCAATCTAGCAGGCTGAACCACAAGCCTGCTATAATAGCAGGTGATTTCAACGCGTGGCCTCAGGAGTGGGGTAGCGACATCTCAAAAACCAGCAGCTCGGATGCCATAGCAAAGGGACAGGCCCTTCTGGAGGCCTTCGCGACGCTGGACGTTGTCTTGCTGAACCAGCGCTCAGCGAACACGTTCAATCGGGGAGGTGCAGGATCGGTCATCGATCCCACCTTCGTCATGAGCTCCCTCTCCCCTCAGGCCAAATGGAGTTTGGGAAACCATTACACTGCCAGCGACCATGAGGCACTGGTGTTCTCGATAGGCGGCGGATCTGGAAGAACCCAGAACCAGACCGAACAGAGGCTAGCCTACAAGGGAGACACACTTCGCGTTCCGGTGTTTTTGGAGGCGATGAGCGGAGTTTCGGTAGAAGGCTCAGCGCAGCAGATGGCCAACCAGCTGTCAGAACAGCTTTTGCTCGCATGCGACGCCAGCATGACTCGAAGGAAGAAGTTCGGTGGCAAGCAGTCGCCGACCTATTGGTGGAGCGACGAGATAGCGGAGGCGAGGCGCACCTGCCTGTCTGCCAGAAGGAGCTACCAGAGATCACGCAGACGCAGTGACAGCGATTGGCCGGGATTTCACCAAGCCTATGGAGAGGTCAGAAAAACGCTGAAGACAGCTATCAAGAGGAGCAAACGGGAGTGTTTTTTGAAGCTCTGCGATTCAGCCGAGCATGACCCATGGGGAAAAGCATACAAGATGGTGATGAAGCGGTTAAACGCCAGTAACGCAGAAGCGCCCTCTGACCCACATCAACTCAGGGCTATCGTCGAGGCGCTGTTCCCTACCTGCGCAACCAACCGCGCTCCAGGAGTCGACGAGATCCAGCCACCACACGATGTGGAGCCAGTAGCGACCGAGGAGCTTTTATCCGCATCGCGAAAGATGAAGCCGAACTAGGCTCCCGGCCCGCTAGTTAAAAGGAGTCTCCGCCAGTGTTTTGGTCCACGGGTGTTCAGCATTAGTCTTGTCAGTGCCGCATTACTGGACGCTGCCTTCGCACTCGTGTAGGCTAGGCGCTCTCGGAAACAGAGCCGTGTGATCATGATCATGACCCCCAGATATTTCACCGCTCTCTTAGACGTCACTGTGGTGTCTGCGACCCTGATGCAGGCCGTCTCCACCTTCTTGCGGCTGGACACCAGCTCTGCCTCGGTCTTTTGAGGCGCGAGCTCAAGTCCGACTTGTTCCAGCCACTGCTGGATAAGCAAAATCGTCTGGTTGCAGGTCGACTCCGCCAGGGTCAGCTCTTTCGCAACCACCAGTATGACCACGTCGTCTGCGAAGCCCACCACGTGCACTCCTCGGGGGAGCCTGAGTCGCAAGATGCCGTCGTACATCACATTCCAGAGTAGAGGGCCCAGCACCGAACCCTGGGGGACGCCACCAGTCACCTCGTATTGCTCTGTACCGGTCTGCGTATCGTACAGTAGCAGCCTCCCTTCGAAGTAGCTACGCACCATCCGTAGCAGATAAGCTGGGGTATTGAAGCTCTCGAGGGCCCTCAGAATGCAGCTCCACCTTGCTGTGTTGAACGCATTTCTGATGTCAAGCGTGACCATCAGGCAGTACTCCTTCCCTCCCCCTTTCCACCGCGTGCCGGCGTGTGTGTGTGTGTGTGTTTTTTTTTTTTTTTGTGTTGTGTGTTCTGGAAGCTCTATGCCGACTCATCGCCTAATGGCGCCGAAGTGTGGGACTCTAACCCACTAAACCAATCTAACACACCAACCCCGGTCCCGGCGGAACTGTCGCGAGATATTACTTCGCCGGGGGGAAATGCCTATACGCTCATCTATTTTAGACTATGTCTATCTCTGTTCCTTGCGTGCTCTTTCTTCGCGACGCAGCTTGGTAGTCATCACTGTGGCCATGTTGCTTATCGCAGCCCAGTTTTCTTCTGACTCCAGTAGACATTGCGCTAGGTTTGCCACTGATGGCGTCCTTCCAAGCTTGTTGGTGAGGACTACCCGATCTTGCTCGAACCTTGGACATTCAAAGAAACAATGTTCCGCGTCTTCGGTGACCCGTGTGCAAAGCACACAGAAGGGGTCATCCTCGTGCTTAAACCTATGCAGGTAGGATTTAAAGCATCCATGTCCTGTCAGCAATTGGGTCAGGTGGTACTCCACTTGTCCAACTCTACGGCTCCGGCTACGATTCAGCCAACTCTGCAGGTCGGGGATTAGCCTATGTGTCCAACGCCCTTTGATGCTGGAGTCCCAGGCGCTTTGCCATTGCCGTATTGTGCGCTGCCTCGCGTCGCCTCTGGTATCCTGGTCGCTAGTCCCTAGATCTCTTTGTGCCCTTATTCCTGCGGCTTCTGTTGCCAACAGGTGGAGAGGGATCATTCCTGCTACCACTAGTGCTGCGTCTTGCGATACCGTTCTGAATGCACAGCATACTCTCAACGCGCACACTCTCTGGACTGCGTTGCATTCTCGGGCATATGTTTTCTGTTTCAATGCATCGGCCCATATTGGTGCCGCATACATTAACGTCGAACTTACCACGCTCGCCAAGAGCTTCCGTCTTGGCTGTTTTGGTCCTCGCGTGTTTGCCATTATTCGAGATAGGGCAACTGCCGTCTTACCGGCTTTGCTGCTTGCATACTCCATGTGGTGCTTGAAACTGAGTCTATGGTCGATCATGACCCCCAGGTACTTCAGGCTTGGACTAGAGCTAATAGTGGAGTCACCTACTTGGATTGTGGCCGTCTCAACTATCTTTCTGCTGCTTATGAGCACCGCCTCTGTCTTATGGGTGGCTAATGTTAGGCCTCTCCCGGAAAGCCATGTTTTGGCTCGCTCTACGGCGTCATTGCAGATTCTTTGTGCCTCTTCTCTATATTTTGCCACTGCGACTATTGCTATGTCGTCAGCAAAACCTATCACCGTGGCGCCAATTGGCATATTCATCTGAAGGATTCCATCATACATGATGTTCCACAGCAGCGGTCCGAGTACCGATCCCTGGGGAACACCTCCAGTGATTTGGTGCTCAAGTGTCCCCTTGTCTGTCTCAAATATGAGCACTCGGTCTCTGAGATAGTCAGCGATGATTATCTGCAAATACGGCGGTACTTGGAAGTTTTCCAATGCTTCTAGTATGTGGTCCCAACTGGCAGAGTTAAACGCATTTTGGACGTCGAGTGTTGTCACTATGCAGTACTCTTTGCTCCCATACATCCATCGGGTGCCATCTATAGCTCGCTTTGCTATCTCACATACCTCGCCGATTGCGTCCACAGTGGAGCTGCCTTTGCGGAACCCATACTGTCTCGGTGAGAGTTGACGCGTTACAGCTGCATCCAGCCTTGTGTGGATTATGCGCTCGAGGATCTTACCCACTGTGTCTAGCATGCAGAGTGGTCTGTAAGATGATGGCTCCTCGGTCGGCTTGTTCCCTTTGGGTATAAGGACAAGCCGCTGTCGCTTCCATGGTCTGGGGAATATTCCTTCGGACATGCACGCGTTGAAGAGTCCCACATAGGTCTGTGGATTTGTCTCCATCGCAGTGCGGAGTACGGCATTTGGAACCCCATCAGGTCCCGGTGCTTTGCCGTCCTTGGTCCGAGTTAAAGCTTCGAGGATTTCTGCTTCTGTAGTGGGTTCTATTTCAAGTGGCGGAATTCCTTCCGTCACTCTCTGGGCTGACACTTACTCTGGAAATAGAGTTCCCACTATGTTTGCCAGCAGATCTGCACACATTGGTGGCGGGGAACTGAACACTCGCAGTTTCTTCATCACCAGCCTGTATGCGTAGCCCCAAGGGTTCGCATCTGCGTCTTCGCAGAGCTTTTCAAAGCATTTTCGCTTGCTTTCTTTGATCTGCCTCTTCAGGAGGCGTCTGCATTCTTTATATTCCCCTTGGAGCCTCTCGAATTCCGGGGATCCTCTCGAGCGTTGATATAGCCGCCTTTTGTGGTGGCACTCCCGCCTGGCACTAGCTATATCTGCAGTCCACCAGTATGTTGGGCTACGATTGCCAGGGCTCGGCCTTTTCCTTAGCATGGAGGCGTCGCATGCTGCCAACGTTTGCATAGCCAGTTGGCTTGCTCTTTCTGAGGCTGTCCCGCTGGTCTCGTAATGCTCGAACATGGCTCGTACCATGTCCGGCTCCAGCGTTTCGACTTTGTACCTGATCTGCTTGCCCAGGACAGAGTTGCGTGCTGCAACGTCCTTGACTTCATAGATCAGGGCCGAATGGTCACTCCCAGTATAGATGTCGCTAACCTTCCAAGTTGTCCTCGGGCTAAGGCTACTGCTCGCGAACGTTAGGTCTATTATGGACCCCGTTCCTGCTCTGCCGAATGTCTGCTGGCTGCCTGTGTTTAGCAGCACGGCATCGAGCGTCGCGAAGCTTTCTAAGAGTACCTGTCCCCTTGGGTTGGTTCTCGGGCACCCCCACTCCGTCGCCCATGCGTTAAAGTCGCCGGCAATGATGGTAGGGTGTTTCTCCCGGGCGTCATCCGCAATGCCTTCCAGCACCGCCGTCGCTTGCTGCAACGTGAGGCTCGGTGGCAGATAGCAGCTGTAGATGTAAACATCATTCAGCCGTGCTCTGGCGAAACCGTCTCCGACACATGTGTGCCGTAGTTGCTGCGTTGGGCTGCCACAGCTCCATATCGCTGCTTTTTTCCTACAATCAGCAATCCACTCCTCGGAATTGCGATTGCGGTATTGCTCGCTTATGACTGCTACATCAATGCGGTGTTCTCTGACGGTTTGCTCCAGTAGCTGCTGGGTCACCTCACAGTGGTTGAGGTTTATTTGGATGATTTTCATCTATCCCTCATTTGCTGGATCGCCTTTTGGTACTGCGGGCACCTCGAACTCGTCGTTTGGTGCTTCGTGTCCCTCGCCCGGTGCCGCTTGCAGAGAATGCAGGTCGGCTGGGCTTTGCAGTCTTTAGCCTGGTGGTCTGTTTCTGAGCAATTGTAGCAGCACTTTGAGAAGTCTTGGGCACTTTTGCAGTTCGTCGCGATGTGCCCAAACTCCATGCACTTAAAGCATCTTCTAGGCGTGGTTTTGGGCCGTATCCGGCAATACCCCCATCCCAGGCGGATTCTTCCTTTCCCTATAAGCGTCGCTGCTACTGTCGGCGAGACTTTCAGCGTCAGGGTCTGGGCCTCATTTATGGCTACCCCTGCCTGCTCCGTTAGCTCCGCCAGCACTTCCTCTTGAGTGGACACCTCGTCTATGTCCTTTACCTCAATGATCGCCGTTTCAGTAAGGCTTCTGACTTCGGCCGTGCTTCCGAGCGCCTCCTGCACCGCTGCCTGCATTTCCTGGGTTTTCGGGTCTGCCGATTTCTCCAGAACTAGTAGGAGCTCTCCCTTTGCGGTGCGTCGCACCCCTTGCACTGTTTGCCCTAGGGCCTTAAGGCTTAATGCTTCCTCTGGGCCATGGTGGCGGCACATGCTGCATCGATGCTCTCCATGACTTGGTTGGCCATGCACTCCGCGTTACCATGCGTCACGAGGTTTGACATCATGTTCGAAAACAGCGCAGTGTTGAACCTATCCGCGCGGTAGCATTTCCATCTAGGCGCGTCTGCTATGACGCCAGCAACCTGCTCGCCAATGTTGCAGATAATGGCCATGTGGTCGCTCGCTGTGTAGGCGTTGCTGATACTCCAACCCGAGGTGTTGAAGAGTGAGCTGCTGGTAAAGGTGAGGTCTACGATCGATCCGAATCCTGCCCTGGAGAAGGTATGTTGCACACCCTGATTGAGGAGCGCTATGTCCAGGGGTGCGATGGTCTCCAGCAAGACCCTACCTCTCGCATTCGTTGAGGCGCTTCCCCATTCCTCTGCCCACGCGTTGAAATCGCCTATGATAGCCACTGGGTGATGATCTTTGACATCAGCCGCTAGATTTTCTATGATACCTGTGAATTCGGCGAGCGACAGGCTTGGAGCGAGGTAAACACTGTACATCCAGACCCTTCCAACCTTTGCGCGTACGAATCCCACCTCCGGGCTTACGTTGGTGGCCTGCATGGGTGTGGTACCGCAAAGCCATAGCGCGGCTTTTTTGGTGGCATCCAGTAAGAATACCGGGGACTCCATGGGGCGGTATGGCTCGCTGATAATGGCAAGGTCTACCGCCATTTCTCTCACTGTTTGGCTTAGCAGGTCCTGAGCCGCAGCACAGTGATTGAGGTTGAGCTGTAATAGCTTCATCATTGCGGCGGCAAACTGGACCCACCTTTGGCTGCTGGGCATCTCTTGCTACCCGCGTAGTGATCCGTGTCCTTGCCCTTGTTAGCCGTGCAGATGAAGCAGCGTAGATCGCTCTGGCAGGTTGCGGCCTTATGGCCGTTTGCGCCGCACCTGAGGCAGCATCCGGTGCGATCCACCGCGCTCTTGCACCTGATTGTGTGTGTTTTTTTTGTATTCATTTAATGGCTTCCTCAATAGTGCTTATACCTAAGAACAATACAATATGGTACGAACAGTTGGGGGACAGATGGGGTAGGGGTCGTGCGAGCAGCGGTACTGCCGCAAGGCATTGCTTCGCCCGCGCGGAGACACCTACTCCGTTTGCTCCTTCCGCCTTCTCTCCATGGCCCTGAGCGTTTTCATAACGCTCGCGGCGAACACCGTGGCAGCTTCCCAGATCCTCTGGTCTGCCAGCATCAGCGGCACCAGGTTGTCGACGCATATTGCAGACCCTGCAATGGCTTCAAGCTCCTGTCGCTCGTATGCGAACCGGTGGCACTCGAAGAGGACGCGCTGAGCGTCCTCCACTATGCCAGAGCCGCACTCCGGGCACCAGTCCTCCGTATCGTGCCCAAAGCGCTTGAGGTAGCTGCGGAAGCAGCCATGCCCGCTCAGTGCCTGGGTTAGGTAGTGGTCTACCTGCCCGTGCTTCCTTCCGACCCAGGACGAGATGTGTGGGATGAGGGAGTGCGTCCAGCCCCCTTTTTGGGAGCTGTCCCACCTCCTCTGCCATTTCTCCATGCTGCTCCTTCTGGCGGCAGCCTTCAGCTCTGACTTGCTGATTCCTGCTTCGTCGTCCTGCAGGGCGTCTTAAATTTCTCTGCGCTCCCGGATCAGCTCCCCTAGAGGAATATGCCCGGCGATGACCAGCGCTGCCTCGTCCGAGATGGTCCGGAACGCGCATGCGATCCTGATGGCGCATAGCCGATACGTGGCCTCCAGCCCCCGCATATAGCTTTTCACCGTTGCGGCCTTCGCCCACACCGGCGCGGCGTAGAGCATTTGCGCCGTTACAACGCTCGTCAGCAGCTTCCTCGTTGCCTGTTTTGGGCCTCTGGTGTTGAGCAGCAACCTCGAGAGCGATCCTACGGTTCCGCTGGCCTTCTTGTTGATGTACTCCAGGTGCTCCTTGAAGGATAGCCTCGTGTCTATGTGGACACCCAGGTATTTAATCGACCTTTGGGAGGTGATCGTGGTCCCTCCGACCTGCACGATGGCAGTCTCCACCGCTTTTCGGCTCGATATGAGCACCGCCTCCGTCTTGTGGGCCGCCAGCTCGAGGCCTGCTACCGCTAGCCACGATTCCACGGCTTGGATAGCCTCGTTGGCGAGGTTTTCTACGGCGGCAAGGTCCTTTGCGACCACCCCTATCGCGACGTCGTCCGCGAAGCCTACCAAGCTTGTGCTGGCTGTCATCGGCAACCTCAAAACTCCATCGTACATGGCGTTCCAGAGCAGGGGTCCCAAAACGGAGCCCTGCGGGACTCCGGCTGAGACTTCGTATGCTCTGGAACCCAGACTCGTGTCCATCGTGAGTACCCTGGCGCTGAAATAGCTGTAAGCTATATTCAGAAGGTACCCCGGGATGTTGAAGCTTCTGAGGGCCTCCAGCGTTCGGCCCCAATCGGCAGAGTTGAAGGCGTTCCTTACATCCAGCGTCACCACCAGACAGTAGGACTTGCTTCCACCTCTCCACCTGGTTCCCGCGCATGCCTCCTTTGCCGTTACTACCACTCTTGAGATGGCGTCCAGCGTTGACTTCCCCTTCCTGAAGCCGTATTGGCCCGGGGAGAGACCGCCAGCCGCTTCGATGGCTGCACTCAGCCTCGTTGCAACCACCTTCTCGAAGACCTTCCCGATGGTGTCCAGCAGACAGATGGGCCTGTAGGAGGAGGCCTCTCCTGGTGGCTTGCCCGGCTTGGCCAGAAGTAGCAGCCGCTGCCTCTTCCACCTCTCGGGGAACGTGCCCTCCTGTAGGCACTGGTTAAACAGGCCAGCAACCTCCGTCGGGAGCAGCGCTAGCGCCAGCTTTAGCGCCCTGTTGGGGATCGCATCTGGGCCCGGTGCCTTCTTGGGCTTTAGGCGTCTGCCCGCACGCCGTACCTCGTCTTCCGTGACCTCGGATATCTCGCCTCGTCTTAACTCCGACCGTGGAGAGCTCACGACCCGTTGCCCTCGTGGGAACAGGGCGCTAACTATCCCCTCCAGCTCCTCGGGATCAGTTGGGGCTTTGCCTCCCGCGTTGATCCTCTTCACCACCATCTGGTACGCACGTCCCCAGGGATCTTCTTCAACTGCATCGCACAGCTTGAGGAAGCATTCCCTCTTGCTGCTCCTGATGGCTGTCTTCAGCTCCTTTCTTGCCGCCTTGTAGCGCTCGCTGCAGCTGTCCAGGCGCGAAGTGCCCCTAGCCCGTTGCAGAAGCCTTCTGGCGCGGAGGCATGTTCTGCCCCTCGCTCAGGCACGCCCACCGAGCACTGGATTGCGTCGTGGTCGCTGGCGGTGTAGACCTCGCTGACCTTCCATCGAGCGTGGCGTGCCAGCGCGCTGCTGGCGTATGTGATGTCAATGTCTGACCCCGTGCCTGCCCTGCTGAAGGTTTGCCGGGACCCTTCGTTTAGCAGGACGATGTCCAGCGTGGCGAAAGCCTCTAGCACCGTGCGACCTCTGGCATTGGTACGGGAGGACCCCCATTCCTGGGCCCAGGCATTGAAGTCGCCCCCGACCACGACGTTGCTCCGTCCTCTCAGGTCGCTGCACAGATCGTCCAGGATCCTGCTGAAGCTCTCCAGCGAGAGACTGGGCGCCAGGTAGCAGCTGTACAGCCACGTACCTCCAACGTTCGCCCGGACGAATCCTTCTGCTGACTTGGCGTCGCGCATCTGTGGAGCATTCACTCCGCAGAGCCACAGGGAAGCTTTGCCAGTGCTGTCCGTGGCCCACACGCTGCTGCTCCCCACCTTGTAGGGTTCGCTGAGGATTGCCACCTCCGAGCCCAGCTCACGCACCGTCTGCGCCAGGAGATCCTGCGCCACTCTGCAGTAATTCAGATTTAGTTGGATCAACTGCATGAGGATCTGGCGTTCTTGACCCCGCTGCTTGCGGCTGGGCAGCTCCTACTGCCTGCCTGATGCCTTGTCTCCTTCATCCCAGCTGCTGAGCAGATAAAGCACGATGGCTCCTTGCTGCACTCGGCTGCCTTGTGCCCCTGTCCACCGCATTTGATGCAGCAGCCGCTCCTGTCCACCGAGCTCTTGCAATTACTTGCAATATGCCCGGGTTCCAGGCACCTGTAGCATCTTGGGAGACCCTCTCTTTCTCGGATCCTGCAGACGGTCCAGCCGATCCGCACCTCGCCGCGCTCCAAAACGGCTTTGCCCACGGAAAAGGGCAAGCTGACCACCGCTAACTGTGACTCCGAGTAGCCTCGTCGCAAGCTCCGCACTCGGATTTGGCCCTCCTCGATTTTGTTCTGGCTCGCGATGGCGCCGCAGATCTCCCGCTCCGTTGCGAGTTCCCGCCCGCTTGTACTATGACAGCGTCTGGGCGTGCGCGACGTCTGTCCTCGGCTTTTTAGCCACTAAACTCCACCCGCTTTCACGGTCAGGCTCCTTGTTGGCTGGGGCGTGCGCCGCCTTCTCCTCGTGTGGCTTATCTGGGCCTTCTTCTGTTTCTTCCGGCGCCTTTGTGGCTGCTGGGCGCATAAGCGTTGGAGCCTCCCCCAGCGGGGCCATCCGACACAACAGGCTGGCTAAGCCTTCGCCACGGCTCGGTTTGCGATGCGGCATCCGTCTTCCAGATGGTCGTTGTGTGCTGTCCTTGTCCGCGCTTGAACGCTCTGTGAGCATTTAGACCGGACTACGCCCGCTGCGCCCTCCTATGTCGCTCCCCTCGGCTGCCTGGTTTGCATCCTGTATGGCCTACGGTGGAGTCGTGGCCGATGAGTGCCAGCTGGTAGATTGGTGAACTACCCAGCACTATCGATCGCAGTCAGCTGTTTGGCGAGTCGGCGAGGAAAAGAAAAACAAAATTGCGCGTGGAAATTTCGTTTGTTGTTGCTCG